CACAGGATATAGAATGCCACACCATCCAAAACCAGTCTCCATGGCAACCTGAGCTGAGGAGCCCGCCACGGCATTTACAGCAACCCTCAAGTATAGCCTATATTTCCTCTAGAGGTCAGGAGGCGGGTGACCACCCCTATGATTCATTGAAGTTCGAAACAGTGTTTGTTGAAGAGCTGCTTGAACGCTTTGCCTTCAGCCACTAGCGCAAACATGCTGTAAGCCCATGGAGGCATTTTATTTGTGGAGGAGATGCTTTTATGGGCGCTGATGCATTTTTTTGGCACCACACGTGAATTTTCTGAGCCACTGGACCGCACACACATCATTTTATGGGTATGAATTCAACCGTCCCAACTGAAGGCTGCGATTACAATACCCTGCACATTTCTGAGAAACACCAGAACAAAAAAAGTACACTAAGCTGAATTTCAAACGTTTCCCTGGAATTAGGGAACTCAGAGGAGGGAGGGCCTGTGCGCGCGTGTCAGATAGTTCTGTTTGTGCAAGCTTAGTGAAAATAAGTCAGTTATACAGAAAAAAAAAAAAAAACATGGGGATGTATGTAGTGTGCTTTATGGATGTTCCTCATTAGAAGAAGATGAACATTGATCACAAAAGATCAGTTATCAATTTAATAGCACAAAAGGTCTGGGATTTCATAAACAGTACATTATTGGATCACCTCAGGGACAATGGGGCTGGTGATGGCCATTTATATTTAACTAGGTAAGTCAATTATACATCAATGTAAACTCTTTCACGCTCAGATTCTAGGAAAGCATCCAAAGTCTGATAACATGGCAGTACCAGACAAAGCAGAGAACAAACCAGAGAAGGAGCGGATGAGCGCGTAATAAACAGCAGAGAAACCGGCGCGCGCAAATGTTTACAAATGATGGCACACAGTTACGCGATCACACACAGACACTTTCTGATTAATAAGTGAGAGATTAGGATATGACCTGTGTCATATTACAAACACCTGATCTGTAAATATTGATCACGCTTTGAGTAAACAGCACTAAATAAAAACAGCAAGCGACAGATGGAAAGAAAAACAATAGAGCAGACCAGATGTTGTTGCCTTAGACTGTTGAAAACAGAATTTCAAATATTATTAAATCAAATTATATATTTAATCTATAGCATTTTTTAAATTTGTAAATTTCTTACAATTCTTGTGTAATTATTATGCATGGAGCTTTTACAAGCTCATAGGCTATTACTTGGAAATTAATTTGTCACACTACAAAAATATATGTGCTAATAAAAATGTGTTTTAAAAAGATAAAAAAGAAATGGTAACAAGAAGGCTATGCTATGTAATGGATAATCCACAGCTAGCTGTGCATTAGCCTAAATAAGGGATAATCATGACATTAAGTCAAAGATCCACCCGACGCGAAGCAGAGTGCATTCAAATTGTTTAATGCACAGTTTGCTTCGATTATCCCACTTACTGTATACCATGGTCATTTGTCAGCATTGACAACTTAAAGCTTTTATTGATGTTTGCAGCGCAATATTTGACCGGAAAGGGTAAAAATTATTCAGTTATGGTTGGTTAGATCTATCATTCTGCCCACTTTGAATCAGACACACAGATAAAGTAGTGTGTAAGATTAGATTTATTTGAATAAATGAATAATAGCATTTATTTGAATTCATTATCGAGAGAGAGAGAGAGAGAGAGAGAGAGAGAGAGAGAGAGAGAGAGAGAGATGAACTACCTTTGTCTATTCAGCCTCTCTCTATTAACAACGAAGCTGTGAGTTTAATTACTTCAAAACCAGCAAGTCGCGACGACTCACGAGGGAGTAGAGCTGCACGATTCTGGATAAATTGAGAATAGATAGATATCATGATTCTGAACAGACAAGAGACATCTAAACAAAACAACATATAATCTTAATTTTTAATCGGTTTGAATGATTGATTCAATAACTCGCTCATTAATACTTGACTTGTTTCATTACTGGATGGATCCGTGTTTTTGTACAAATCTCTTGAATGAATGATTCAATGACGTAAGTCACTTTAATTGCCAAATAATTGCCAAGTTACTTTAATCGCTACTGTAGACATCAGTGTTTACTGTTTATATTCAAACTATAAACTTTTATCCTAGAACTTCTGTGATAATATGAATATTTGTAACACAGAAATAACGATACTGTGGGGTTGAAAAGACTGTTTTTAAAGCTGTTTCATACCTATACTAAGACAGATCTGAATGTTCCGGTATGATTTAGTCAAAGGTTTAATATACAGAGCTGAATCGTTGTCATTTAGGAATGAGATTGCATGGGTGTTTGAATCGAGATCGAGATCTTTTAACAATTAATCATGCAGCCCTACAAGGCAGCGTTGATAAGTTTCTGTGCTCCTGAATGTTTCTGTGTTTGTAGCGCGATCGTATGTGTGTGCTTTAATGAAAACAGCGCAAGTGACTTATGTGTGTGTGTGTGTGTGTGTGTAACCGCCGGTCCTACTCGACCCAGAATTCGAAGTGGGAGGCGGGCACGCTAACAAGGACACTAAAGACCACAGCCGCTAGTGTTTACACACTCTTACTGGCCTACGTCCGTTACACTCACCCTCCTAAACCTCACTCCCAACCGGGTCACGGCACCAAATGTAACCGGTCCTACTCGACCCGGGGTCTCCAGCGTGGGAGGCAGGCACACTAACAAGGACGCTAAAGACCACAGGCTCTCGCATCAGTCACTAGTGTGCCTCTTGAGGCCATGGATTTACACACACAGCTCTTACTGCCTTACATCCATTACATGTGTGCTTCAATGAAAACAGCGCGAGTGACATATGCATGTGTGTGCTTCAATCATTCAATGAAAGCACTGCATTAAAATAGAATAATTTATAGGTAATAGGTAATTAAACTCACTTGGAACTTTTGAGTTTAGCTTGGAGTGAGAAACAAAGGGGAGGTTGTAAAAAATAAAAAAATAACTTGCATCACAATAAGTGTATTGCGATTGTCAAAACATTTGGTAACTAAACATAATTTAATTTATGTTCATTCATTTATTAATGTTTAGTGACAACGTGTTACAATGTTTACATGGATGGTACAACGACTGGTAGGCTACTGGTTTTATTAGTCCTGGACACAAATTCCACGATTTCAATTCAATTTGATTCCGATCTTGATTCAATATCGATTAATTTGGATAAATGGCAGCTACAGTAGCTACATGTTAGTTTTTCTTAAGGAAAAAAAAATCTCTCAACTAATGCTGCAAACATACATGGAGCCCTGTCAGCTCCTATTATTAAAGGTTAAAATTAACAACTCAAATTAATAGAATGTTTTTTATAATAATAACGTTAAAAATATTTTTTATGATACGTAAAAATATAATAAATATGTAATATAGTGCATATATTTAGCTAAATACTCCTCTCTATAGTTAATTTTTCTAGCTAACTAGCATGCTATAGTATAACGTTGGTAAATGTTATGTGACATTGTTCTCCAACTGTTTTATTGACCTCTTTCCGGGGTTTTGAAACACTGATTTGTCAATTACATGAGACAAGATACATTTCGGTAAGTTGTACTGTATCTTTCAACATACCTTCTAATGTTCATTCGTGTTTATTTACAGTTAACTAGTACTAGTAATAATGAGGAAGAGATGATCAGTTCATGTGCCGCTTGAACTGAGGCGATACAGCCATCTGTCACTCACGTCACTTTTAAGAGCGCCAAAACAATATTTTATTTCGTAATAAAATTGACAGAATTTGAAAGCTGTTTTATATCAAAAGTAACCTGCTCTGTCTGGTCTTTCGGTGTCAGTGTCCTCTTTGCTTCGCGATGTTTTTTTCACAGCATGAGAAAATCATAGGAGAAAATGGACGTGTGGCGCGAGAAGAGTGTCATCATTGACTGTACTGCAGCCCTGTTCCAGCCAATCAGAATCGAGTATTCAGACAGACGATGGTATAATAAAAATTATAATTAGAAATATAGATTTAAAAAACTATATATAGATATATACTGATATAAAAAGTCAATGTTACCCGTAATCTACTGTACCTATCTATTTTGCATTTTTAAAAAACAAACATTTTTTTAATGTTTATATTCTAATAAATACAACAAAACAGTGTTTTTCTAAGTTACCATTGGAGGTAGCAAGACAATATTTGCATAAAAAAACAATGCAAAAAGTTTTTATGGGTGAAGTGGGTAATTTCTGTGCCATTTTGGAAGCATAATTTTAAATATATATTATTTATTTATAAAAAAAATGTTACATATAATAACATAATATTTTATACATATTACTATATTTCAGTAATAAAAATGATTACCAAGCATTATTCTTTCTACATCCGGTTTACATATATCTTTATTTATTTTTATTGAACCTTTTTAAAGGTTACTTCAGTTGTTCCCTTATCATAACATAAATTGTAAAATTGTATGGAGATTAATCAATGCTTAACTTCTGAATGCATTTAACTGTTGCTATTAAATAAAGCACCAAAAGGAGAATAACAAATATTAACAAGAAAAAAACAAAAAACACACACATTAGCCTCCACTTTCATATGGGCATTAGAAGTATTACTGGTTGGAAGCAGTGGGCAGAGCAACCTGCTTCTGAATGAGAAATGAAAAGTACATCACATGTATCAACAAGCAGCTGGTAAATAGTTTCAAATAAAGATTGGATAAAGTTGCATAAACTCATCCTACCTCATCAATGACAGCTGTTATCTGCACAGGAAACACTGTTTACCAAAACATTATAAAACAGGGTTTTTCTCATGAATAAACACCTGAAATTATTGTACAACTGCTGCAAAATGTTGACTTCTATAGGTTACCATTGGAGGTAGCTAGCAAGGCAATATTTGCGTAAAAAAAAAAGCAAAATGTATTTATGGGTGAAGTGGGTAATTTCTATGCCATTTTGGAAGAATAATTTTAATATTAATAGGCATGCATATATATAAAAATGATCAATTTCAACATTTTTGTAGAGACTGTCTTATTAGATGCATGATGGATTTTCAGGATATTCCATAACAAAATATAAATGTCACACAAGGACACAGTCTGTCTCTCTTCCTTTAGTGTCTGTCGTGTGTTTTCCACAGCTCAAGAGCAGTATGGTGAAGTCCAGAAAAACAGGATCCATGACATCACACAAACACCTGTTGGAGGACAGATGGCGGGACATCTGCGGCCTGCAGGCTCTGGAGCAGCCGTCCCACTGTGGCTTCTCTTCCGTCCCTCTGCGTCCACATCACCAGTCCCGCGAGCACCTGACTCTGAACCGCGAGGGGGTGGTCAGCACAGCACCGGTACAGATGAGCAGAGGACAGGCCCAGGTCCAGCAGCACAGACTTCCACTCCGAACCCAGACGAGCGGCCAGTTGGTTCAGATGCAGCATGGTTGGAACAGTCGAAAGGATGTGGTCAGGTACACCACACTGAACTGAAAACAAAGAAACAACCTATGATTTTCAGTAAGTCAAACAGTGAATACAGTACGTCAGTAAGTCAACAACAAAAAACAAATATGTAAGGAAAATAGGGCATTTGTTTCGCATTCAGAACCGGTTCTATTTTTTGTAAGCGACTGATTTTCGTGAGGTGAGGTTCTGTTAATGATCCTTTGACATCTCTTCTTGCATAGTCCTTTCTGGTTGACATACAGACATACAGCATAACCAGTGTAATCCAATTCACAAATAAATGACTCTTTTGAACTGATTCTTTTTAAAGAATCAATGAAAAAGACTGAAAAATTAGTCTAAAACGTATACTGCATGTTTGATACTTAAGTGTAATTACTGACCTGTTGGTCATTTGACAAAAAAAAATATTTTTCAACATTTTAAATAAAAGTATAATTAATAAATATAAAGTGTATACACACACACACACACACACACACACACACACATATATGTGTGTGTGTGTGTGTGTACATATATATAAAATACACTTTATATTTATTTATATATATATATATATATATATATATATATATATATATATGTGTGTGTGTGTGTGTGTGTGTGTGTGTGTGTGTGTGTATAGTCAAGTCAAGTCAAGTCATCTTCATTTATATAGCGCTTTTAACAATGAATTGTTTCAAAGCAGCTTTACAGAGATAAACATATAATTTAAGGTAACAGATTGTTTTGGCGTTATAGCGGTTCTTGAATAATGTTACTTCCAGCTAAAGTTAACTTTGATTGATTCACCTCCGTCGAAATGATCAGACTTTAAACGCGAACCTGTGATTAACGCTGACGGCGTTCACATGCTCATTCAGAATTCTATAGTTATGTGCTTTTTAAAATATGTGCGCAGGTTTGTAATTCATACAACCCAGCCTAAACAAACTACTTTTCTTGCCTATAAATTTTGATACAGAATTTTGTTTTATTTTATCACTTCGGGGTACGCGAGCCGGAATTCACAGCGCTTTATCTGTTGTTTTTTATACAGTATATATATATTTTTTTGTGGAAAGTTAGGAACAATTATGCTGGGGTATATTTCTTAAATATTAAAAATGTTTTTTACAACAATTATACATTATTATTATTAACATGACATTGTAATAAATATATATATATATATATATATATATATATATATATATATATATATATATATTATTATATAAACTTTTTTCTTAGTCAAGACCAGTTACTTTTTGCATGTGTAATTTTGACCTCAGAAACCCTGGGGGCGGATGGGTGAGAAAACAGCATCTCTCATATAATATGAGCATATTTATTTGAATAACTCACACTGAAACTGTACCATGACCCTGACTGAAAAAGCTCATACTGCTGAATAAAATATGAAAATGACAATAATCCAGCAGCCATTAGTCTCATATACATGAAGCATCAGTATAAGCCGATTTACATACAATACAGAAAAAGCCTTAGAAATATTGAAACCGTAAACATCTTTTGAATTATTTTAGAAGAGAAGGACTAGGAAAACATGTTCAACCCATCAAAATCAATTTCAAGGTGGCGACATCAACATCCCATCTTTTCTTTCCGTCCATGCGCAATAGAATAGAGATGTGTTTTATTTGAGCAGTGGGGATGAATGGAGCAAAGGTCGGTTTGAGAGTTTGTTTTGAGCTTCACAAATTCTTCACAAAATCAAGGACGTCCATTGATTTCTGCAGTCAAGAGACAGGAGTGGCCACACTGGGCCATTACAATAACAACTCTCTATATCCACATCTTTAGTATCTTCTGTTCTGAGTGGAATCTAACACTCCTGTGATGGACATTTCATCATTTTCTTCTAGAATTTGTGTTTGCTTTGTTTACTTCTCAGAATAATCTAAAGATTGTTTGGCAAACATGTATGAAAACAGTCATTATTTTTACAATTCCACTTTGTGACACTAATAGGTGCAGAAATGGCACACTTCAGCTTTAAATTGAGGAGAAAAGATACACTTTCAGGGCATATATCCAAGTGTAGTATTCTGTCATGGATTTGGACACTTTGCGGAAGTTCTTCACGGTTTTAAAGCTTCTAGACCCCAGAGACAAAGAAGATTAGTGTGTTGAGGTGCCCCGACAATCAGTGATAAACACCACAAAGAGGATTTCATGCAGTGAGTGCTGGTTTAGCAAACCAGCACAAAGGGAAAGGGGTGGGGGAGCCAGGAAAGATCCATAAAATGTCTGTGGCAATACTTTATCTGATTAATGTCAGATGGGGGTATAGAAAAGAAAAGAAAAGAAAAGGAAACAATGAGACAGCCAGAAACAATGAGACAGCCAGACACAAAGAGAGTAAAGAAGAAAGTGTAGAAAAGACATTGGGAGTGAATGTAGAAATAGCCAGACAAAAGGTATCAGGGAAAGGAAAAATCAATCTGTAATCTGCCAAAACAGTGAACAGTGTGTGTGTGTGTGTGTGTGTGTGTGTGTGTGTGTGTGTGTGTGTGTGTGTGTGTGTGTGTGTGTGTGTGTGTGTGTGTGTGTGTGTGTGTGTGTGTGTGTGTGTGTGTGCTTTAATGTTTTTTATTAAAATATAAATGTTTTAATATATTAGCATTCATTTTTATTTCAATATATTCTAAAATATAATAAAATAAATATAATAAAAGTAATACAAAAATATAAAGATGAATAAAAAATTAAGCACACATATGTACAATGAGTAGTAAATTAGTAATGATACTGATTTTACTTTCACAACCTTCAAGTACACAAAACATGCTTTATTTTGACAAGGAAATCACAGAAAATAACAATTAACATGTAGTTCAGTAAGTGAATCAGATTAAATTAGTGAAGGATTCTTCTTAACGGTTTCATTAAACGATCTGACTCGAGACTCATTTGAACGTAAATCGTGGTCACATTTTGTTTATGTGTGCAGTTTTGCCACTGTATGCAATATGCTGTTCACAGGCATATTTATTTTATTCTGCTGGCAATAATGTATGATAATCTAGGGGTTATCAAGAAAAAAGTAGCATTTGAGTGTCCATGGGACTAACAACAGGGCAGTGGAAATGGATGTGGAAAATCTTTATTTTCCTTTATTTTGAGTGTCAGATTTTAAAAGTGCAAAACACAAATTAACAAGCTAATAATAAAGTCACTCATGTTATAGCATAATAATGGAAAATGTATAGCACAAAATTAAAGTTGGTTAAAACAAAAGAAAAAAAGAACAGTGGTAATCAAAATGAATAAATATTATTAATATAAAATGAATAAATTATCGTGAAAGAAAGAAAGACAGGCAGAAAGAAATAAATAAAAAAAGAAAGAAAGAAAGAAAGAAAGAAAAAGAGAGGGTGCTCTGTAAAGAACATTGCCTGGGTTTCTGCGAAATGCTTATAACTTTTCTGAGAATTGCTTCTTTTTTATAAGATGGAGCATTCCAGCTTCAATTTCCGTGCGTACATGTGGACGCTTAACTCCAGGCTGCTGGAGGGAACAGATCGTACACTTTAAGAATGTAAAGAAGCCTTGATCTGAGGGGACAGTTACAGTATCTTTAGGCTGAAGAGAGCTTATGGAGACAAGTGTATGTACAGTATATAGCCTATCCATCACGCTTTTGTTTTAAAAAGTGTCCGTGAGTGCATGTTTAACAGCTCCAAGTGCTTACAAAATTAATTAAACATCCCTGTGAGAGGATGCTGTAAATTTGAAGGATTAGGAATATGTTTTGGGCTTTGTTGAAGGCAATAAAAACACTCAGATGTGAGCGAGTATATATGTGTGTGTGAGTGTGTTTGTTTGAATTTCCTAACCAGGTCTCTATCTCGCTCCCTCTTGCTCTCTCTCTCTGTCTAGGAAAAGTAAATTTGTTAATTTTGGGCAGGGTGATAGTAAACCACCCACACATGGCATCTAGGGAACAGAAAGCTGTGCCGTATCTCCGGAAAATTCCAGGAAATCTCTCACAAAAAAAAAAAAAATCCTGCTTTTCAACAAGCTTGACGTCACAGGACAAGGCTTGTTTATCTGAAGTTAAAAAATAGAGCTTATAAATAAGTACAATATACAATATAAACCATTTATTGGTTTATATAATAATTTTATTTAACATCTAACCTAACATAAACCAGCAGGACCATCACAATGTGACAGTAATGATCCTGTTTCAGGAGGGTTCACTGAGGACATATACGCCGCATTTACACTGCAGGTCTTGATTGCCAATTCCGATTTGTTGACTTTATCTGATTTTTTTGATGACCAGAAGTGACCCATTTCCGATATCTGCATTTACACTATACACATGGCAAAACAACCCAAGGTAGACGTACTGACCCAGAAAAGCATAGGCCGAAAAGGAAGTAAAAATGGACAAAGATGAAAGGATAATACAAGCATTTGCTTTCCGCACCATCTTTAAAGGTCAGCAAATACATTAAGGATGAGAGAAAAGAGGAGAGCCCTTGTTGCAGCCTGGGCAATGAAAAGAGTCATGTGATCGTGGTTGGTGTCCACCTGAGTTGACTTGATTCGCCACGTCGCTTTTTGTACGACTTGCATTAACAGGGGAATATCTAATCTGTCCGCACATGGCAGACGCAAATGCACATATCCGATTAATATCCGATTTATTTCCACATTTGAATGAGGCCTGGAAACAATCTGAGAATATTGGATTCTATGTGATTTTTTCCTGCTTACACATTCGTGGGTCATATCTGATCTGTGCCACATGGGAGGAAAAAATTGGAATTGGGTCACTTGAGCCATGTAATGTAAATGCTGCCTCACTACAGGTCCTCAATGTGAAGACATCACACAGGACAAAAATGCCATCATGTTAACAAAAATCATTGTGTCTTAACATGTCTCAAATTACTCACTTTATTAAGTGTATATAAGCATAATGATAAAATGATTTAAATGATTTAAAATGGATTTTTTTAAATTAAAACTTTTTATTTAAAACTGAATTTGGTGGTTTGAT